TGGGTGGGAGGCCCGGAGGTTGGGTTGGGTGGGGGCCTCCGGTGCCAGGAGAGATGCGGTGCCCTGCAGGTGGCCTGTGCCCCTGCAGGCTCTGGGCATCGCTGAGTCCCCTGGCTGAGAAGCACAGCTGGCGGAGAGCCTGAGAGCCGCGAAGGGCTGAGCAGGGCGAACAAGGGACCTCTCAGTAGTGACGGGGACAGACGCGTGGCTGGTCCCACCCCAGCCTCCCTGGTCCAGGGGCTGCTTGTGGAGACAGCCTGTATTTCCAGGCCATGTGTGCTGTGGTCCCTTCCTGTCCTCCCTGGCCCTCTGGCCCCACCCCGGGCTGTGAGCATTCAGGCCCACCCACTCACAGATTCTCCAGGGTCACAAGGCTGAAACGGGGCTGGTGGCCAAGTAGGTCTGTCTCCTGTAGAAGTTCCTGGCTTCCCCCAGTGACTGGGCATGAGGAGAACAGGGGCAGGTACCAGGGCCTCGCTAGGACAGGTGGCTTAGGGAAGGCTGCCCTCACAACCGCCCCCCCCCCAGGTGACATGAGCCCCCTGCCAGGCCCCTGCCCCGGCTCCCTCCTGTCTCCTTTCGGGGAAGATCGTGAACATTTTTGCCTTCCGCGTCTTTTACCTACTGTTGAGCCGTCATGGTCGTTCTCCGTTTATGTGCAAGCCTCCGGCCACCCTTTGTATGATGTCGAACACTTGGTGGGCAAAGGGCCAAGCGAGCAGGAAGCTCCAGGATTGTGTGTTCTGCTGGTGGGAGATGGTGTCCGGCGATTGATGTTAGAAATGGAAATGTAAGACTCAGCCTATAGTTCCAAACTAGCCTCTTTTGGCATCCGCACTGATGTGAGTTAGAGTTGACGTGGGGCCACAGCTGCTCCAGTCATAAAGCAGGACAGAGATTAGATCAATTTAAGGCGGCTTACAAACTGCACAGGGGTCATTTTGGCAAATGTCGAGTCTGGGGTGTTGGGATCTAGAGACGACTGAGAGGTTTCTCCTGACCAAACTTCACGCGTGGTGTTTCTGGGGGCCCAAAACCTTGCCCTTTCCTCATTTCCCTCACCTCTAAGGGCATCTTCCTGTCCGAGCTTTCACTCCGCCGTAAACAGTAGTGGCAAGCTGCACTAGTCTGTCAGACAGAAGCAGCTTGCAGCGAGCTGGTCAGCACCAACAATGATGGAGGAGGATGCGTGACAATAAACTCCCCACGGAGCCACAGTTCGAGCCTGCTGGCAGAGGGATTGCCTCAGAGGGGCTGAGGAGCCATCAGCTCATCTCTCGGCATCACTTCCAGGTTTCTCAAGAATGTACATGTCTTGGGGGCTGCAGGAATGGCTTGGTGGCTGAGAGCATTTGCTGCTTGCTTTAGTCAGGGTTTCTGCTGCTGTGAAGAAATGCCATGGCCACGGCAACTCTTTAAAGGAGAACATCTCATTCCGGCTGGCCCACAGGACTGAAGGCCTAGTCCATTACGATCCTGACAGGAAACACTGCCTTGTACAGGCAGACATGGTGCCAGAGCAGGAGGAAGAGAGAGACTGGGCCTGGCTTGAGCATTTCAAACCCCAAAGTTCACCCCCAGTGACGCACTTCTTCCAAGGCAACACTTCCCAACAGCAGCTCCCTAAGCGTTCAAAGTGAGTCTGTGGGAGCCATTCTTACTTAAGCCGCCACACTGCTCTTGCACAAGGCCTGAGTTTTCGGTTCCTGGCACTCACACGGTAGCTTACAACCATCCATGACTCCAGATCCGGGGTATCTGATGCCTTCTCCTGGCCGGCGTGGACACCTGGCATTATTGCAGTGTACATACCTGTGTCCGGGCAGAGTACTCATACATGTAAGTCACTGTAAGGAGAAATGAAGTGTGAAGAAGAAAAGGATACAGATGCCCTGACCGGGTCACCGTTTTCTTTCTTTTCTCTTGAAGATCCATGTTACACTTCCCCCTGGAACATTCAGTCAGCCATAAGAGTTCGCTGTTCTCATTCATTCATTCATTCATTCATCATTCATTCATTCATCCATCCATCCATTCATTCATTTTTGGCAGGGTTTCACATAGCTCTGGCTGGCCTTGAACTTACTATGTAGATGAAAGGACCTTGAATATATTCCTTTCCTGCTTATACTTCTGGAGTGTTGAAATTATAGGCTTGCCTCCCCGTGTGCAGTCTCCACAGGGCTGAGGGTGTGCTCTGGGCTTCTGGGTGCTAGACAAACGCTCTTCCTGAGCTCCATCACCAGCCCCCAAAGGTTTCACAAGTGCCCTAGAGACCCCTGGCCTGCTTGCTCCTCCAGCCTGCCCTGCTGCTGTGGGCTCTGTGGGAGCACTCACTACTGTGAGGGTCGTCTTCCTGTTCTGTTTTGTCCACAGACCGCTCTGAGTATCTGATCATACAAATCAGACACACTTTCAGAAGGTGTCAGCTTCCTGGTACCATATACCCAGCGGCTCTGCATGGGACCAGCTCAGGGAATTCAGAGTCCAGAACTGCACCGGGCCCCACATCTAGGTTATTTGGCTTAACCTTGGAGCGGGCACTACCGTCTTAACTACCGTTTTACAGTGGGATCTCATTATTCCCCAACCCCAGACTGACGGCTGTGCTAGAGCTTAGTGAGTCGTGGTGTTTTCTCACACCAACCCTAACTCGAGTGAGCTTCCTGGAGGCAGCACCTGCCCGAGGACAGAGAACTTCCTGGAGTGCTGGGAGCCGTGGCTCTTGTGAGATAACAGGCGTGTGTTGTCACTTCAGGAAACAAGGCTGGGTGCCCCACATGTATGGGGCATGCCTGGTCACTCGTGGGTGGGAGAGACAGACCGGAGTAGGCTTACTCCTGACTGGAGGAAGGCAGGAGCTACCACAGCCTATGGGTCACCTGGCTGACCTGAAAACCAGGCTGCTTTCTGGGAATCCCAAGTTTGGGCTTGGCCGGTGTTTTTCTTCCTGGCTATACTAAATAGAGCTTGCTTTATTTATTATAATTGGGTAATTGTGTAACTCATCTTTCTGCAGGAGATTTTCTGTAGCTGCTTTCTTGGGTGCCTTTGAACACATTAATAAGCTTTTCTTTATCTCAAGTTATTTACTGGCATGAGAATGACAAACCAAATTAAAGATACTTGGATTACCTTTGGGCAAAGAGAGAGAGAGAGAAGCAAGCCATGCTTGGTAGCACATGTGGGTAACCCTGGCCCTCAGGAGAGGGAAGTGGCAGGTTCAGGACCTCACCATTGCCCTCTGCCTCACGGTCGGATCTAGGCCTGCCTGGCCACGAACCAGTCTTGATTGAAATGGAGTGAGTTGCAGGTGGCCTACCTCCTTGATTGCTGACAGAGACGGTCTGAGGGAGCCGTTTACTGCGCTTTGGGGAGATTTAGGACTGTTGGCCAAGCTCCTTGAAGGGCTTGTACAATCTTTACACTCCTCATATCTCCATAAGAAACTCAGATGAAGAGTGTCTAGGCAGCAGGGTCTGAGGTTTTAAATATTGGTTAAACGTTACGTGTACAGGAGTGGGACTGTGAGCCGAATGCAAAGGACAGCCTCTTGGAAGACACATGCTAAGCTGAGCCAGTGCTTGAGTCCTGCGCACCCTCAGACAGAACAGGGGTTGAGCAGGAGTGCCCCGGTGACACTTCCCTCAGGAGTGTGACTGGCTTTTTGAGTCAGTTAATGGAGGATCCTTACACTTAAAATCTTGACCAAGTAGCCCTTTAAGCATCTAAGAGCTATCAATCAGCTCAAGCTGGCCTCCCCTCACCACGTGGTCCTCTGTAACTCTTACACCCGCTAAGGAAGCGAGGAAATGTCTCCCTTGACACCTCCACCCTGAGTCCCCATTTTTTACTTTCTTCCGCAGAGCTACTTGAAGCTTTGGGTCTGCTCTAGCGGAGCACTGAAGGCTTTTCAGCCGGAGGCTCTGCTGAACTGTTCTAAGAAAGCAAATCTACACACTGCCAGTAAGGAGAATGGACTGGAGAGATGAAGGCTGAGAATCAGGAAGTGTTCAGGGCTGGCTGTGAGGAAAAGGCAGTGCAAGGAGGACACGCTGAGCCTTCAGTGCCCCATGTGAATGTGGCTGAGTCCAGGGGTGCTGGGCTGGATAGGGGGTGCCGCTGCAGGAAGCTTGAGGTTAACGCTTGTGCAGAGACTGCTATTTTTAAAGATTTTGTTTATGTATTTTTAATTTTGAATGATGTGTGTGTGTCTGTGTAAGTGTGGATTTGAGTGCCAGTGGAAGCCAGAAGCACCAATGCCCTGGCATTACAGGAAGTTGAGCCCCTGTGTGGGGGTGAGAACCACCCCCTGAGGAGCACTGCTTGCCCTGCCTGGCCCCTCCAGCCCTGCTGAGAACTTAGGTGCGCACCGGGGGAGGGTGTGTGTGCGCACGCGCTTCATTCGCAGCCCCTGGAACAAGAGCAGAAACCAAACGGATCGGAGGCTGCCAACTGAGCAGATGAGGGGAAAGAAGGAGAAAGTTTGCATCTCAGGTTCTTCTGCTGTTTGAATTCTTTTTAAATCCACACTGCATTTTGTAATTTTTAAAGGTTATCACCACGACAGATATAGCTCTTATTTTTCTGCCTTGAGCTTAGAAGGGATGTGGTATAATCTCCTAAAATGGCAAAAACCATGGAGGACAAGACTGCACTTCATCAAGGGTCTGCTCTGAGACACAGTCCACTCCCTCACGAAGCCTTCTCTCCTTCTCTCAGCAGCAGGCTCTGCAGCCTGTCATTTGTGGGACAGTTGTTTCATGGGATATTAGCAGTTAAGTGAAAGAAAAGGAGAAAAAAGAAAGCTTTGCTGATACAGCTCTGAGAAATCCTTGACTTAACCCAGTTAAGTGGTTTACT